AGGCATCGAAGTCTGTTCGCATATACTATACTCCATGCGCCTCGCATCTCATGGCAGACATGGCATCCCGGCACATTGCAGTACGATGACAGCCACCAGCACAACAACAATTTCAATTTACGCTGACTGACATTACATCACATTCAACTGCACTGCATAATCTCTTTTTATCAAAATAATATGCAGTATATTGATTGCAATACATGACACTGCATGAGAACACATCGCATAAAATGTCATCATACTTCATTGCGCGAGCATTGCATTGCCTTCATACTATGGCATTGCACCACATTTATTGCCTGACATTACACTATGTTGCGGTAGAAGACATGGCAGCACAGACATGCACATCAAACCTATCAATGGCACAGACATAGTCAGATTAGATTGGAAGGCTAACTGGACAAATGAACAAGCTGTGGGATGGACAAGAGCCGGTGAAGGGGCCTGGAGAACCTTGGTTCTGACAAGTTCTGAGGCTGCGACCATGCCGCACTGCGACAAGTGCATCTGGTGGGTAGGATTGTAGAAGCCTTCGGGCGTCCGCGACGGCTCCGGGCTCAGGCTTCGGAGTTGCATTCCAATTGCACATACGGTGTCATGTCAGGTGTCGCCACCCACCCTGCATGGTTCCACCAACTCGCATTACAGGGACGACTGGTCGTGCTGGGGCTCAGGGGCTTCGCGGCTGTCGTCACTGTCCGACCTTCGGATCGTCACAGTCTCCATGCGCTCGCACTTGGCCGCGCACGTGCTTACACGCGCAGGCATGCATGCATACAGAATTGAATCATCAGACTTGTGCGCGTGGGTGGCCCGCGTGGGGCCGGCCAGCTCCGACTCACGGATCGAACGCTGCAGGGAAGGGTTAATTGAAAAGGAAGCACACGACCGGGGATTGCTGTGACGAGCGCTGTACTTATATGTATGCATGCATGCATGCATGCATGCCTCTGTGAACGTATCGACTGGATGGATGGATGGATGCAGGCATAGATGTTACATAGATGTTACATATGTATATATAATGTACACACACACACACGAGATTACCTTTGTATATGTATCGGTATGATCTAGCTAGGATTCTAGCTACGGCCCAGAGAGAGGGACATGCCAGATCTACCTGTCTGTACCTGTTACACAGACGAAGCGTTACCAAAAGCATCGCACCGGTAAAAACTGAAGTGCTCTTGGGCAACTGCAAAGGAATAGTAGACGCACAAGCTTCTTCCATCATACCGAGAGACCAGGAAACCAGGCAGCCCAATCTGACAATTTAAAACAGCGTTCAAGCATTCCGTCACACATCCTCAATCAGACCATTGGTCTGCGGGCGCCTCAACTTTCGGAGATCGTACCCAAAGCACACAGACAGAACCCAGCAATACTACAGGCAAGGTTAGTGTGTATGGGCTGTATGGGACTCGACTTCCTGTCGCCTGCCGAGGTGCAGCTATGCGCAGGAGAGATCCATGCCCAAGACAGGCGGAAGGAAGAGGGAACCTCTGACGACTCATGAGTGACGAAGTCAGCAGATGCAAGTCATCGCGGCAATCAGGATACGGGCCATACTCCGGGAGCCTCCCACTGGCACCACTCTAGAAGCCGCAACTCCAAATCCGAGGTCCGAGTTCCTCGCCGCTCCCTCCAAATCTAGATCTCGGTGCAGGGGGTTTTCTGGCAAGGCTGTGACGATCCACTTGTCGAATTTTTGATGGGGGTGATACTCCGACAGCGAGCCGTCTCCAGTATCTCAAGACATGAGGGCTCAGTCCGCAAGTTTATGCTATGCTGTAGGATAGGCTACACTCTGCCGCGCAGTATTCTGGAGGTACCAAGCACGCCCGAAAGCTCATGTAGCACCTGGCGATATGTCTTCTGAACATGAGAAACTCCACGAAGCGGATGACTTTCCCTGAGGCAAACCTAGAGAAGAGCTTGTTTGAAAAGGTTAGGGGGTGCAGCTCGCCTGCACAGCATGACAAGGCGCCGGGTAAAGACCTCCGGGGCAACGGGCTTTGTAGAGGTTGAAAGCAATGCTTCGACATACCCTCCGGCGAGACTGTGCAAATCCATGTTTCGCTAAGTTTGGGAGTGACCTCTCAATGCATAGCAGCGAGCCCTGTTGACTCGCAGACCGCAAAACACTTACTTACTTTTACAGTGTGCGCGGCCAGTTCTGGCCTTTCAAAAGGGATGCTCTTAAAGAGTAGGCGCCTTGTGTCAGCTATCCGGCTGGGAAATCGTAAATGAGATGCTATCTTTGCGACTGGCTTGTTGCCTGAAACATGCCAAGTTGGAGCACTCTTCCCGCCAGCGTCGGAACTTCCGAACCCCGAATGACTGTTGTTGCACACTTGATCCCATCCGTCAACCTTGGGATGCCAAAGCAAGCGCAGCGCCAACAAGGACCAGCAGGTGTCCTGGTGCGGCATTGGTTTCGGAAAAGAAGCATCGTGGTGGGTCTGTGAATTTGTGGCTTGGGCGACAACTGTCGGCAAACACACGAGTGGCAAAAGAGCAGTACTGACTGGATCAATTCACCACCAGCGTCAGTAAGCGAAGGACGCCGACATGATGACTCTCTGAGGATGGACTCGACTGAGTAACTGATGGGTCATACGGATACGTGACAAATTCAAGATGCAAAACTGGATGATACTAAGCCATGTTCTTAACATCACCATGGTCGTAACCGCAATGCCATCGTCAACAAAGTGATCATGTGCTTACTGATACCTGCTTGCTAACCATCAGCGCCATCGCTGTTCATCACTCCGTCATCCCTATCATTTACGCTTCACCATCGCCGATTCGACATCACCATGACAACATCGTCGTCGTCGTCGTCGTCATCATCATCATCATAGCTTGTGCTCATCATCGTCATCATCAGCATCAGCAGCAACAAAAACGTCAACAGCCGCAGCAATGGCGCGGTATCCTCATCACCAGCATCATCGTCAGTACGGTCATGAGAATCTTCTTCCCTTTCGTCATGGCAAGGCTTTGCAGAAGAACCTTTTGAGTAACCGCGGAAGGTGGTCCTGGCCGCGCGAAGCTGACTTTCTGCCAGCTGTCGAGACGGTTCGGCTTGATGAGGAGCCCTGCTTTGGATTGGTCTACTGGGGAACTAGCTCTGGGTTTCGAGTCCGCCGTGTTCAAGACAGGTTGCATGGCACTTGATGCATGGCTTCGGTTTCGTGCCCGAGCTACACCCTTACAGTCTCGATGTGAGCAGAACCAGGATGGGGCCAAAGTCACCCAGCATTTCGTTCTCCACAGGCCGATCGGTTGCAAATCCTGCCAAGCAACCTCAGCCTGTTGCACTCTGTCGGGGATGCACTAAACCTCCACATCGTCGTCTGGCTGATTGGTTCTGCATCGTTGAACGAGTCCTAGCCGCCCTACCATGTTGCACATGCAAACCATTACAGGACACGGCCTGAGGAGCTCTCAACCAGCAAGGTGACCCAGGATGCGTCCTCGAAACAGGGAAGCACGACTTCAATTTAGACGGGTGTTCGGTGTTGGCGATGCTCGGGAGGTTGAGCATTTTCAATGGGACGTTGACCAGAGAACTTTATGGATCAGAAATCCATCTTTGCACGGCTCCATTCACAGGCAGTTGAGCTAGTGCTGCTCGAAACTGTCCATCACCCGATCGCACAACTCTGAACCTGCCTGGGGCCTCACTATTATGCTCCATCAAGCCATGCATGACTAAACAGCCCAAGCCGAGGTCTGGTCAAGACCCGATTCCCTACCTTCAGCACCTATACATGAGCATGACCCTTCAAGACTCATAAATAGCAACGGCGTGCAAGGTCTGCTTAAACGGGGCATGCATGGCACGAACATCTGACCTGAAAATGCGACTGCTGTACCATAGGTCCTGGTGGGGCACCGAGTGGCTCCAACGCATGGCTGCTGGTGGGATGAGGCCGGCACAGACACCTGCTGGGTCCAGCTTGGGGATGCGGACTTCTTCGAGCTCCCAGATTTAACTCGTTTCTGCAGGTAATCGGCCACACTAGCACACAACCACGAGTTGCACAGATCAAGCCTGGAAGGCTTCTCTTCTGGCTTTCTTCTTTTGAAGCTCTGGCATTTCTGACACCCAGAACTTCTTGCTTGACGTCTGGGTCCAGGCTAGCTTCAACGCAGCAGACGGTTATGCGGACTGGGCAATCCGTAACGTTCTGTCTTGTAATTGCAAAGTAATGCGCTCACAACATACGCGCGCACCATTGTGCAAGGATCGCAACGGAAAGAAGAAAAGGCAGCAACAGCAACCATGACCAAAGGTCGCAGCAGGAACCAAAGCCCGTGCGAGTGGCGGAAACCCCGCCGGTAGTGCAAGAAACCAAAAGGCACAGTGACGGAAATCGCCCAAAGGTCGCATGGTTACTCGAACAGAAGCCAGGAAACGAGGCAACGGAGACCGGAGGCCTTTGCACCCTCGACCCTGGCCCGGATTCCATTACTAGGAGCCAGTTTCGGTCACGTGCTTCCTTGGTTTCCAATTCATGTTTCGGGCAAGTGTTCGCTGTGCGCTTGGTTGTCCAACTTCTGTCCACTTCACCTGGCAACCGCTGATCGGGTGTACGTCGCCTAGGCAACTAGTCCTGACAGAGGGTGGAGTGGGGGTGCCAGCACCATTCGAATTTGGGATGATTGGTAGTATCGTACCCCTGGCCCAACTGAAGTCACTGCTTTGCTCCGGCACCTTGGGGAGTGACGATAGCATCGTCGGGCGCCTCGGTCTTCCCAGTAGGTGTGAGCCCTCACTCCCTCCTCGGCAGCAGGTGCAACCCGAAATTTCAATCTAGCTCAAGTCCTCCAGAGGCCCAAAGGGACACAGAAACCCTGCGGAAAACCAGACTCGCGGTACACCCGCATAATTTGGAGCTGAAAGCATGCGGGTCAGAGTGTAACCCGATCACGTCACGCATGCAGGCAGCTTGTAGGCGTGTGACAGAACAGCTGGCCGCTTTTGCGAAACAGCAGGTAAAATAGATCATGACAGACCTTGGTAAAGAATCTCGGAAGATCGAGGAAGACTGTCTAGCCCCAGACTATCAAGTCCTTGACACCTGTCTCCTTCGAAACACACACACACACACAAAGCGTCTGCACACATACTTGTTTTTGACTTTGAGGCCTGGCCATGCCCAAGTCAACAAAGGCACCTTGACGAGCAGATATCTTACCTGGGGACGACCCCGGGCACTCGGCAGGAAAATGCTTTCTGTACAACATCAGCTTTAGACACGTACTCACCACTAGCATCCATCCTCCAGAAACTCCCGCTTTGATTTCAATATGAAGCCGCCCCGTCACTTCAGGATTGCCAACGACACTAAACACACTGCAAATGGTGACGGATGGCTGACACGCCTTGATGCATCTGTCTGCAGCCTCGTCAAAACCCTTCAGCTGTCAGGACACGAAGTGTTGGAAGCCGGAAGCGAAAGCCCAACCATTGCAGCACCCATATTTGTCGACGCATAACGGCCAAGACACCTGCATCTCAGGTTGCAGGCAAGGCAAGGCAGATGGTTCCGCTGTCAGCTCTCCATCGGCCAGAACTTGCCAGGACACCTGCCGGCACGACTTGCAGTGTGCGAAGCTTGGACTCGCCTTTCAGTTTAGAACACCAGCGGCCCCAGCCAAACACACCTCCTCTAACGCTCTCAAGCTCCCCTCAAAAACTTCCTGTGCCTGTGAAGCACACGGTACTACCTCTGCACTATGAGCTGCTCGCTTGTAAACCCAACACCCATCAACACCCATCAATACCATGAGCTCTCTAAACTGGAAGTCTGCGAGGAGCGAGGTCCAAGGTTCCAAGGACCTGGCAGCGCCCGCGGCCTGTTTGGCACAGGTCTTCGCACGATTTTGAAGGCAGGGATTTCTGGGGATGAAGGGCTGTCGGTCGGGATGCCGAAGGTCTTTGGGAGCCCACCGGATCTTCTGAGCTTTGAATTTGAAGCAATTGGAAACGGAAACCACACATCGGGTTTCGAAAACGCCTCTCGGACTCAATTCAGGTCTTGTTTTGTTTTTTTTCTCCTGTCTTTCTGTGGAAAACAATGCGAGGGGTTCTTGCGGTAGTCAGGGCAGGGCAGGGGCTCTTTGCCGCTTTGCAAAGCAAGGTCCGCATATGCCAAAAAACGGTACACGCATTCAGCCTACAGGCCTGTGATATTCTTCCCTGCCACTCTCGAGCCACTTCTCCCGCTGCTGCACGTTGTCTGTTCCGCCTGCCTGCCTGAAACAGGCAGCGGAAGGTGCCTCTCCTCCCGCGCCACCTCACTTGTTTTCCTTTTAAGATTAATGCCATTGTTATTTCTCAACACTCAAGCCTTGTCTTCTATCATCAAATTTCGAGCAAATTGGACCGCCTCAAGTTCGATTTCACCTGCTGGATGTTGGACGGTGTGGAACTTCTCCACGAAACTGGTCACAATTTCGCTGCAAACGTCTATGGGTCTGTGAAGCCAGACACCTGTACAAGTGAACGGACAACTCTTCCGCAAACACCGCCAACAACTGCGCCGGGAAGTGCGCTGTGGCGAGAAAGTCATGTTTGAAGGACCGAGCTTAGCACAACAAGGCCGACATGTCGTCTGCTGTGCTCCATGTTGAAGATGCACTTCTTGTCTACACATGCTGCTAACGTCAGCACTCGAAGACACCAGCTTGATTGCCTCTGAGCTGCGGGAACCCTAAGCACTGGCGGATTTTGGAGCCGACCCAAAAACCAAAACATCATCTAATCCCAAGAGCATCCGCTGAAAAAACCTTCGCCAATACTGCCGGGAACTTTACTGCAACTTCACTGCGCAGGAAGATCTAGATGCATGCAACAAAGAGGGCACGCTGATGCGATTCCGCAGCTTCCGCTATGGCTCGGTGCACGTACTCAACTAAAGTTGCGGTCCCGTCGCAAATTATACTGCTTTGGACTCGTCATGGCTTATGCAACTTGCTGGATCTCTCCTCCTACAGCCCCGTGCGAATTTTGGTGTCTTTTGGGATGGTAATATGCGGAAAGCGTGTTCCTACCTTTTTGACGTGCTCATTTTGGCCCAAATCGCTCAAAGTCCGTCAAGTCCTTAGCAGGGTCACATGTGGTCTCGAAATGGTAGCGGTCTAAGTTCTGCAGGGCTTACTAATTTCGTCGCAACTGTGCTGCCGCCACAGTGCCGTGAATACTTTGGGTTGTGCATTGTCCTCCCACCATGCGCCCCGTTCGTGTCCGCCTCCCGAAATCGTGCTCCGGTCACCGTGCTGTGGTGTTCCGCCTCCAAAGGAATCGCACAGTGCTGTGCAGCTTTGCTCGCGAAGAATGGGGTGAACTTTGGGATCTCCGGCTAATCAGCCTAGGAATTGCTTCTGGCATGGTTCTTGGGTATGCATTGCTTCGCCGGCTAGGTTCCCTTTCAATTTCACTTTTTTTAACGGTCGAGTCTAAGCCGGTGCACTGTGCGTGTGTGCATCTAGTCCGTGGCTCAAGCCCCGAAGCGGGGAGAGGCCTTTCACATGAAAGCCGACCAGCTGAAAAACTGGGCAATCAGGCGCCCAGAGGTCATACCTCGCGGTGACTAGGCTACATGCCTCCCAGGTACCTGTCTTGCTAGAGAGTGCGTCCGCAGTATGTGCCGAGCATGCAGCTCGATTTATGCTGCTTCGAGTCTACAACTAGTGCTCCCGTTTCTAGAGATGTCAGTCATGTGACGCAACACGCCGCGACACTCTGTATACTCGTGTCGCTCCAACCATCACATGTCTATTTACTCGATGGCTGCTTCTACATAGGTACGATGAAATCCTTCCCAAAGGCACGGCGTTCCGGATCCGATCTTCTCGTAGCTGCGCTTCATCATGCGAAAGGCTTCCTCGCTGCCAAGATTGTGACAGACACTGGGTAGCAATAGCAACATAAGCAAATCCAGCACGCGGCCACTTTCTCTCCAATTGCCCAGTCGGGCTTCGTTGCGAAGCAGCAACATCGACATATTCGTCTCTTACTTCTGCACTGAAGCTTCGAATCTCTAGGAGATGCTGTTCTTTGTGCAGTTCTGTGCTCTACTCCTGCTAGGCCAGGCGTGCCGGGCAGTCGACGTGGACAAATGCTGGGCCCACAAGCTTGTAGCATCCCTCTACTCTACGCTGTTTCGGAGCTGCTGGTTGAAGTGCAGCAGATAGATGAATCGCAATCGCTCGAATTGCTATAGATAGCTATTTGGGAACCCCAAGAAAGATTCATCTTAGCATCTATGCACAGCTACGTGCAAATACTGGTGCCCAGCAGCAAGAAGGAGCACACAACTGTTGTTAAAAAGTGAGCCTTCGTTTGGGGATCAAGCCTGAGCTTGGGCTGTGACGTGGATTTATGCTTGGGAACTCTTGGTGCTGACATGCTGGGAAGCTTCGGTCAACGGGGAGAAATCCGAACGGACTGGGTGAACCCGGCAGGAAAACAGTCTACAACTCCGCATGTGCGAAGAGAAGCTGCTTGGCATTGTAGGAAGACTGAAGCAAGTGAGGAGCATGCATGGGAAGATTTCATGAATCGGAACTTGTTTACTATATGTAACGACTACAAACTGCATGCTATCAAGATAAATCGGCGAAGACTCTCTCTTCGAGAGCCTGTCTTCATGTGGACATGCTATGTTAAAAGTCTGTACAGTGCACACAGAAGATGTGGTCGCGAAGCCGTACGTCCCTCCGCAAACGAGACAACATGCATCGCGCTCACAGCAACGGTGTTGTAGAGATGCCCCGACAGAGCTACGAGCATCAACGATATTAGCCGATCTTCACAGTAGACACAGCTGAAACACCAGCGATAATAGAAGGACGAGCAAAAGAAGCAGGGTGTTCAAGGCGTCCACATAGCATCATACTGTAGTACGAACGGCTCTAGTAATTAATGTCTTACATAGCAGACAAGTAGGAAAGCATAGGTAGTTGGCTACTTAATCTAAGTATTTGGTTTGTTTTTTAGATGGAAAGCAGATAGATGGTTGGTTTGTTGGTTGGTTGGTTGGTTGGTTGGCTGGTTAGTTAATTAGTTAGATAATGAGCAAGTATAGGAACAACGGGAGTAGCAGGAGTAGGAGGACTAGAGGCAACGCACAGAACTAGCAGCAGTAAGAGTCGTCGTCGTGGTAGTGCTCGTAGGATTGGCAGTATCCGTAGTAGGAGAAGAAGAAGTAGTAGTAGTACCAGGAGTAACAGGACAGTAGTAGTAGTATGTCACAAAAGTAGTAGTAGTAGTAGTAGTAGTAGTAGTAATCGTAGTCGTAGTAATCGTAGTCGTAGTCGTAGTCGTCGTAGTCGTAGTAGTAGTCGTAGTAGAAGTCGTAGTAGTAGT